GTCCTGAATATCGAGAAAACACTTCATACAGTGATTATTGGACCTTTAAAGAGTATTCTTAGGAAGTTTCAGCTGAGTCCAAGTTTGAGCGATTTTCGTCAGAGTAGCACTTTAAAACTGGCAGTCAATTAAGACAAAAACAATWGGCGACAGTTCATGCTTCTGATTAGTTTTTCACACCCATTCTTATAAGTAGGACACCATGGTACAAAAGACAACTTTCTTATAAGCAAATGGACCATCCGATTGTTTCGAACAWTCATTTAGCGTGGGGGTAATGTGTTCAGTCCACGTGTCATTCCCGAGAATTCAATGGTTACGACTGAGAACTCAAACAAATAATCTTACGCTTTAGAGTAAGAAGTGTATTATATAACGTCCAAGCTAAAGAGGTCTGTTTTTTGTTTTTGTTTTTGTTTTTTTGTTTGGTTCTTACTGAACTTTCCATTAGCTTTTTGTCATGATTTTCGTACTTTTTAAAGCCAGCTATAAATTTCCATTAACAAACCAACTACATGACATTTGCAGTGTCAATCACTCGGGTGTTATATACTCTGTGCTTCGTCGTCGGGAGSCAGCCTTAAAACGTCGCTCCATAATCACCTTTCATCGACTTGGATAAGTATTACAAGTTTCAAGTCATGAATATCAGTATAGCCAACGAGACAGTGGAAGATATGATGACAGCAAACATGTCAACGGTTATYATGGAGTGCCCCATAGAGATTCCTCACACATTCTGGGCGCTGTCTTCCTTGAACCAAGCAGTCAAAGTCTCAACGATCCTTGCCATTATTGTCAACTTCTTTACGATGCCACTGGCTATGTTTCTCAACGCTCTGATTATTTTCSTTGTTTGGAAGAATCCATCTCTTCAGRTTGAGCGTGWGATAGTCMTGGCTTATTTAGCCTTGACTGACTTTCTTTSTGGACTGATTTGTCAACCCTTGTTCATCGCCAAGAAAGTTTTTTATTTGAAAAATAAGGCATCAAGCTGTGATTTAGAA